TTACTACATCGACCGACGACTATATATATATATATATATATATATATATATATATTTATATATCATTGACACCTACATACATCACAAGAAGTTACCCGTCCAAACACGGACACACCAATATTCAGAGTCTGTCCCAGTATACTACGCAGGACGGGAGGGACAATTGTAGTTGAGCCCACATTCACAAAGTAGACCATTAGCAGAGGCAGCGATGCAATGGTGGGCAATACGAGTTTGTATCTCCACTTGAGGTCGAACACATCGTCCGCGAAACCAAGCAGAATCATACAACAGATGGATAGCAGTCCCGCGATGAACTCGGAGAACTGTTTCGTGTTTATGTATGTCGTTGAGTATGTTGGAGATATTGAGGAGTAATGCCCTGGGAGAGGTACAATTGTACCAGTGCCTAACACTCAATGAAGCAACGCGGAAATGAAACCGGCGGAACGTATTTAGTGAGGTAGTGTGTGTTTGCCTCCATGAACGTGTAAGTACAATACCGTACACCAGAAGAATAGCAGGAAGTTGAAAATATGGCAAGCAGATAACATCGTGGCTATATGGACAAATCAACGCGTTCGACCTTGTGTAGCATACTCTGAGATGTGAACACTTCAATAAGTGGTTTACATATTATGAACAAACTACAAATGAACCCGCATGTGTGACATCAGGTAGCGAACAGACTTAAAGCCGGTGATGACCTGAGAACATGGCGGAACGGATTGTTTTGGGATGATAGTGAGGTAGTGTGTGTTTGCCTCCATGAACGTGTAAGTACAATACCGTACACCAGAAGAATAGCAGGAAGTTGAAAATATGGCAAGCAGATAACATCGTGGCTATATGGACAAATCAACGCGTTCGACCTTGTGTAGCATACTCTGAGATGTGAACACTTCAAGAAGTGGTTTACATATTATGAACAAACTACAAATGAACCCGCATGTGTGACATCAGGTAGCGAACAGACTCAAAGCCGGTGATGACCTGAAAACATAGAGCAGGTGATAGAGATAGAGTAGGACATGGAAAAAAAGGTGGAAATCAAAATAGATACTATGTGAAATAAAAAATAGTGAAAAAGAAATAGAAATTATTCCTTAATGGAACTGGATGGGTAGGGAAGGCGTTGTCTGACCGATGACGCTACTAGTACGGGTGAGTGGCCATATCTATATTACGGAACTTGCAGATCTATATTCCGGAATTTGCAAAGTGTACAGATACATTCACTCACCTTATCATGCGGAAAGTTTTCTTTGACTATGGGATTCACGAAGTGTGTGTCGAAGGCAAAGGGAATAAAAAGGAACATGCAAACGAGGTATGCTGCTCCGACAACCATTCCCAGACTTTCCGGTCTGTAATAGTGTGACCAGAGATAGGTTGACAACAAATGAGAAAGTATGTGCGTAGACGTATGTCAATAGGAAGTACTCTCGGAGTATTGCTCCCAGAAATATTCCCAAACGCTGCGGTGTATGATAATGAAGGAGGATAGAAATATATTGCCACGATACAAATAGGCATAGCGCATACATATGCAATAGTATACGCCTTCAAAATACTGTGCCCACAAGCATTCTCAGACTCTCCCGTGTGATAGAACAAACAACGAGATACGTTGGCATGATACGGGTGCACGAGAGCGTGATAGCAAACGATACAGGAGCGTAGATGTGTGTATGTATGTATGTGCATAAGCATATAGACACTGGACACCGATCATAGTACTAGAATGCAGCTTCGAGTATCAGCATAGTGTGATCGATGCGTACGCACAGAAGCGTTGTTGGGTCCTTACAGCTCAGAGAACTGCATAAGCGCTCTTAGGGACATAACAAATGTACACAGAAGTACTTTTATCGGTGATCTACAGGACCAAGTAACCAAACGAGACTGGCACTCAGGCATGAGACTGGTACTTCGTTGACATAATGAAAATCAATTATCATGGCATTGCTTCCTGGAAAAACCCGATTCCGCATATTTTGATGTGTGTCTGTATAATAACGCACATTTGCATGAATATCATCTATATGCAAGCGATTGACTATGGAAACTTGAAGAGGCGATAACGAGTACGAATGTGTTGATTTCGTACACTAAAACCAGTATATATAAAGTTAATCGTGAGCAGGCTGATAGACACTTACACTCCATTCTTCAAGGCCACACAATACTTACATAATTGTTGGTAAGTTGCTGGTATTGCCGTAAAGATTAAAAAAATCCCGAGTTAACGTGTATTTATAATAGTTAAGACAGCGCAGTACAGTCTGGAATAAACTTATGATGAAGTACCTTTTCAGACGCAAAGCAAGATTATTGAGCAGGTTATGATACGCATACGCTCGTCTAACAGTCACACAAAAAAAACGCCGTATTGTGAAATGGTAGACAAATTGAGGTTCACTTTGAGATAGCGCAACAAGAGCAAGACTACAGCACGCCATGTACACGGACACACAGTAACTAAACTATATATGAAGTCAATCAATACGTATATCAAATACTTCAGGCGCTGCAAACGAAAAAGTTTGGGAAAACGAGTACATACAAAATGGGTGAATTGGTCTTATTGAGATCCTTGCCGACTACATTGGCTTTAATGAAATGCTCCGTCACTGCGGGCATCGCACGGAAACATAGCACAAAGCTCACAACTGAGAATATGAAATTGGTCGACAAGGGACTTGGAAGGTTCCAGAAAACAGCTGTATGCATTGTGTTGGAAAGGTGGTCAATTATCAATTAAAAATACGTACTTAAAAAAGTATATACATATACATTTACTATCCCAATAAAAAAAAGAACTAGAAATCAAGAATGGCAA